GACCCCGGCCTGGCAGACTCCCCATGGTTCACGGCAAGTGGCCTCTCCCTCTCCTGCAGCTGCTCTCACATCCGGTGGCCAGCAATCCCCAGACTCCGAGCAGAAGAGCTTGGAGAGCAGGAGACAGACTCGGCTCTGACCTGACCTGTCACCACGACCTTCAGCCACCACCAAGCACGCTCGTGACACTCAGGTTTTTCAGGCAAATCCACGTGAACTCTCAGTTTCTGTCACATGATCAGACTGTCTCTGAAATACCCCATCAAAGGAAAACGGGAAGACAGAGCAAGTGTGCCAAAGTCTTGAGAAGGGCTGCTTTGGAGTCCACCTGTGGGGGTTCATCTTCACTGTCTTGAAATCTCCCTTAAGCTATTACTAAAAAGTGCATTTCAGGTACTTTTGTTACTTGGAATGAAATACACAAACTTTCTCTGCCTGGAAACATGTTCCCTTAGGAAGCTGAAAAAAACTTCCTAGCCCTCTTTCCAAGATAAAACCTGCCATTCTTTCTAGAAAAAGGTCATAACTGACTTCATTCTGAATTTCAACTTCAGCTGTAAAACACGGCAAAATTTGAAAATAAAGTTATGTGCAGAAAGTGTATAAGACATTAAACTTAATTTTGTAAGCAGGCATTTTTTCTCTTCTTTTAAAAAACAGTTAACTCAGTCCTGCTGTCCTGTGCATGCAACGCAAGGGTCACCAGAAGAGGCAACAGAGTTGGGAAACCCTCCATTGGGACCAGAGCATCTCCCAGCAAACTATTACCTGGAAAGCTCTTTTCCTGGTAATCCTGTTTTGCAGACAGTAAGCTTTTGAAAATGTGGAGTTAAGCTTGCCTCGGACCTCTGGAAGAGAGGTTCTGATACTTTTCCTAGTGACAGCACGGCTCCCTCCCACACACCTGAGTGGCAGGGCAGCAGGGCACAAGGAGCCCGTTGAAGATGGTTTACCAGTCAGGTCTGGGAATTGTCCTGTCCTCACTCCCCACTGCCCTCCCCGATGTCCATCTCCAGGGCACTGGGCAGCTTCAGCTGGACTGCACAGGAGGCAGGCAGGGCGGGAGACCACCCAAGGCTGTCATCATTTGCTCCCCGATATTCCCTAGCCAGCTTAAAGAGAAGTTGGGTCCACTCGAGTACGGGGGACGGAAACCATTGCAAAATATCCTTAACGTTCCTTTTCAAAGCAATTAAAACCCAGAAACAAAGGAAAAGGAGCCAAAGTGAACACTCAGAGGCCTGCAGCCCGCAGCGGAGACCGTGCGGCCCTCCAGGGTTCCAGAGAACGGTGCCCCTCCATTGTGGAAGGCGTTCCAGTACCAGCAAAACCCAGCTTCGCTCAAGGACTCAGAACGCACCACGCACTCAGTGCCAGGAACGCAGAGCAGGGCGAAGACCCGGGAGCCCGGGCACCACAGGGCCCCGCGGAGGGCGCGGAGGGCAGTGCGGGGCCCTCTGGTCGGCGCTGGGAACACCGGCCGGCCGGCCGCGGGGCTCGGCAGGCGGCGCCGACCCGGGTCCCAGGTGGGGAGGCGGAGGGGCTTCCCGGGGGGTCGCGCCGCAGCCCACGGCCCCGGCTGGCGCGCTTCCAGCCCGGGGCCAACCACGGCTCTGAGCTTCAGACAGAGCCGGACAGCCCAAGTCCGGGCTGTGGCCGCACGACCGGGAGTCCCCGGGCGCCGGAAGACCCGCCAGGCCGGCCGGTCGGCCGGCCGCCCCGCGTCGCGCCCCCTCCTCCGCCGCGCCCCCGACCCCCGGGGCGCCCAGGGCGGCCCGCCTCTGCCGCACAAAGCCCGCCGCCCGCGCCGGGACGCTCACCTGGCCGCCACCGCCGTCTGCGCCCGCGCCGCCGCCGAGGGAGGGGCGGGGCGGCGCGGGGCGGGGCGGGGCCGGGCGGCTCCGCGCCCACAAAGGGTCGCCATGGCGCCGGCCCTCCCGCCCGCCGATTGGCCGAACGCGGGGGCGAGGCCTCCGGTTCAAACCGCGGGCGGGGCCTGGCGCGCGAGTTCCCGCGCGGCCGCGTTGGCCGTTGGGGCCCGCGCCCCGGCCACCCCGCCCCCGCCCGCTCCCAGGTCTCCGCGCGCGGCCTCAGCGCGCCTGCGCAGGGCTAGCGGGGCGGGGCGGGGCTTGGCGGGAGAGGATTGGGGAGGGAAGGCGGGGCAGTCCGAGCGGGGAGCTGGAGGGGAGGGGGAGGAAGGGAGAGGGACGTTGGGAGGGGGAGTGAGGGTGGGAGAGCGGTGGGCTGGAGGGGAGGGAAGGAGGGGGTAAGGAAGGGGAGGGGAGAGGGATGTTAGGAAGAGAGGGGGGTGGAAGTGAGAGCAGGGGGAGGGGAGGGGAGGGACGTTAGGAAGGGGAATCAGAACAGTGGGCTGGAGGGGAGAGGAGGAGGGGCCAGAAGCTCTCTGGACAGCCTGGGGTCAGTACAGGGACTTCCCAGGTTTACATGCAAGAAATGAAACCATAGAAGTCCAAAGCAGGGGAGGTTTCTTAGAAAATAATTTCTCCAAAGGTCTTAAGTAGAATACAGAATCCTGACTCCATTAATTCAAGCAACATTGCTTGAGTGCAGGCCAGGGCTGCAGTCCTAAGCAAGTAGAAGCCTCTCTGCTCTGTTGTGTCATGTGCTGGGGCTGTGCACCAACCCAAGGGGTAAGTGGTGTTGGGAGAGGCCCAGGTGAGGTGGGCTCCCTGTGCAGACACCAAGGGGAAGGGACTAGGCTGGAGAGAAGGAGCCCTGGGATCTGGGGAAGGTGACATGGCAGGGGTGGGGGGTGGAGACCACTGGACACTGGACGCTGGGCAGAAGAGGGGCAGGTCCTGAGTGGGGCTTGGAGAGCATGACTGCTAAGATCAGATGTGGGGAGTGGAGGGGGAGAAGTAGAAAGTCCACCTGGGTTCCTGCAGTGCTGGGGGTGGCACAGATGATGGGCTGCGACTCGCACAAATGTAAATGTTCGTTTGACAGTGGGAAAAAGCTGGGGGAACTTTTGTTCCTAGCCATATGCCACACGGATTAAATTCCTTAACACACAGATACCCTGCAAATGAAAGCAAGATGAGCAAACCAATAGAAACGGGGCAAGGGATATTAACACAGTTCAAAGCAAAAGAGAGAAAATGCCCTTCCCTGGTGGAAGGGCCTTCAGCCGGGAAGAAGAACCACGTGTGTTCCAGCTGTCAGACTGGCAGAAATAAAAAATATTCTCTGCAGTAAGTCTGTCTTCCAGAGCTGTCACTCTTTTTCACCCAAAATGTCCAGCATAAAATGAAAAATTAACAGGCATACCGGGACACAAGACCAAAAAGTGGGGGAAAAAACATACAGATAATAGACTCATGGGTGATCCTGATATTGGAGTTTTCAGACTTTTAAAAACAGCAATCATTTTATTCATGAGAATTAGTGACAAGGTGAACGGGAATGTGTTAAAATGACTCAGATGGAGGAAATAGGCCTAACCTCAACGATAAAACCCAGAAAGGAGGCCAGAAGGAAGAATCGCAGGCTGATTGCTCTCACAGCCACACTCGAAACTTCCAAACAATAGTAGCAACTCAAAGTCCCACAATACACAGAAAAGAAGATAAAGCACAACCAAGTTAGGGTTGTTCCAGGAAACAGAAGGTTAACGCTCCAAACCAAACCAAGTAATTCATGACATTAACAAAATGAAAAAATAGTTGGAAATCTCAACAGGTGGAGAAGTATCCCCTGGTACCATTCAACCCCCGTTCATGGTAAAATACTGAGCAAACAATATACAAGTGCAAGGTTAGGAACAGCCCACAGCACCCCCCTCACCTCTGACACCCACTGCAAGTTTGGGGCCACCAAGACCACCCTCGGTTCAATAACTCGCTACAAAGGCTCGCGACAACTCACACTCGCCGTCGTGGCTTGTTACTGTGAAAGTCCTGCAGGGATGAGGTCCAGGCGGCCCCCCTGCCACACCTGCCCCCCCGCATGGGGCTTCCACACCAAATGGCCCGAGGCCCCCTGCCAACAGTCACCCACGGGCAGGCAGGACATCCCAGGGGGTTGGGGATCCCCTCCCAGGGCCCAGGGGCAAAGACCAGACCTCCTTGGGGAAGGCTCATTTTTTTTTGCTACACAACAAAGGGACTCCCTTCACCTAAGGGAGGTGTATTTACAAAAAACCTACAGGAAACCCTGTAGTGTATAGTGCCAGAGTGAAGCTGTGCAAGCTGCCTCCCGTGATCAGGAATTAGGGGCAGATTTCTACCCAGCATCGTGTGGGAGGGCCTGGGGGCAAACAGGCAAGGGGAAGAAGTAGAAGGTATAAGGATTCAAAAGGCATTGGGATCATTATTCCCAGAAGATCAGTTTCTGAATGTAGAAAATCCAAAGAATCTTGTCCTAGCCGGCATGGAGGGTCACCCACAGATGGGTGACCTAGATCCGCCATGATTTGTTTTCTCTCTGTTCCAGAGTTTGGAAGGCCATGGGGAAGGTTCTGATGTGCAGAGCGAGCGGGAGGATGAGAGAGCGCCATCCTGCTCTGAAGCCAGCCGTCCCCTTGGAGCAGGGTCCACCCTAGGAGCTCTTGCAACCTTAATTACCTCCTAAAAGCCCTGCCTCCAAAGACAGTCCACTGGGGGCCAGGACTGCAACATAGGAACTGGAGGGGGACGCCATTCCATCCATAGCAAATCTCCACATAAATGAGTCAAATGAATGAAGAATTAGGCATGACCATCAGATAATCCTATTTTTATATACAAGTAACAAGCCAGTATAGAATTTTTTTAAATGTTTTAATGATACCATTTGCAAAGCACCAAAAACATCAGCACCAGATGCATCTAGCTACAAATATGCACGGACTGTACCTGGAGGAGCACAAACCACTGTGGAGAGAAGTAAGGGACTGAGCTGGGGAATATGCCAGGTCCCCAACTGGAAGACTCCCCGTTGTAAAGATAGCGGTTCTCTCAAACTTACCTGTAGATTCAGTGCGATCCCAATCAAAACCATACCTTGTTTCCTGGAAACTGACAAGTTGGTTCTAAAATCTGTACGGATGGGACACTGGGGGGCTCAGTCGGTGAAGCGTCTGCCTTCAGCTCAGGTCATGATCTTGGGGTCCTGGGATCGAGTCTGCTCAGTGGGGAGCCTGCTTCTCCCTCTACCCCTGCCCCTGCTCCTGCTCTCTTGCTCTCTGTCAAATAAATAAATAAAATCTTTTTAAAAAAGGGCCCCTCCATTATAGCCCCAAAGTGAGAACAGCCCAAGTGCCCCAACGGGAGAATGAGCCGAGCATATGCAAGCATGCACGCTGCTGGCTAAGAGCAGGCGTGCACACGGAGAAAGAAGGTGCCAGAGCGCACGCCGGTTCCACAGGTGCAAAGCTCCAAGCAGGCGGAGCTGTCCTGTGGAAGAGGAATGGTGGGGCGGGGGAGGCCCGGAGAGATTTCTGGGACCCCAGGACTGTCCATACTGGATCTGAGCGCAGGGGGTTCACCTTTGTTTAATACGTTCCCACCGGGAGCATCCTCTGTTTGTGCTCCGAGAACTACGCTGACCAGGACATCGAAGGCAGGGTCCTCAGAAGGCCGGCCCCCAGGCCCCCAGTCTCGGGCGATGCACAGGCTGTGGTGCCTCGTGGTCTGTCGCAGGCCCTTGGAATTACTAACCACACGTGTGTATGACCCGGTCCAAGAGTCCAGTCTTTTCGGTAATAAAGAATACCACACTGTGGCCTCACAGCAGGGCCCCTTCCTAGAGCCTTGGGGAGCATGCGCTCAGCCACCTCCAGGCAGGAGGAAGGGGCCCCCCAGCCCCTGCCTGCCCTCCCGCGCTCTGTGACACCTGGGCTCGCCTGGGACCACGCCCTGTGGGTCCACCTGTCTGCCCCAGTCTCGCGGGTAGAGGTGGGGTGCTGGGGTGGTGACAGGCCCAGGCACAGAGGAGACTCCGAGGCCGTGGCCAGGAGGCCTGTCCCAGAGATGCTCCAGGCCCACCTGCTGGCGGGGACCCTCGCCGGACCCCAGCCCTGAGACCCCACCACCCTTCCTGGGATCTCCTGTCCGCTCTCGGAGGGGGTCCCACTGGGCAGGGGACACGTTTGCTGCCAAAGAAAATAGGTCAGAGGGTTTATGACCTCACCCATCTGGTGTCATCACCCAGTCCTTTGGATGTGGCCAGAGTTAGAATTACACTTTGACAAGTGGACTTTCTTTGAACATCGGGAACATTGTTGTGAACATACCTGTGTGCCTTGTTTGGTGAACTTTTCCCATGAGACATCCTTAGGTATCCAGAATCCTGGAAGGTTCCTCATTGGACTCTGTGTTGTCTACAAAAAAACAGAATGACGTTAAGAGATGCTTTCCTTTCTGTCGTTCGGTATTTGTATTAAGAGCGGCGGTCACTCACAGAGCTGCTGCCCCGTGAAGGGTGAAAGCAATCTCACCTCACATCGGCTGGATCGGATCGGCTGCAGGAACACAAACCCTCCTAGCTCCTTGGGGCTGGAAGGGAAGGTGGGGCAGGTCTGGGGGGCAGGGAGTCTGGCCTCCTCCTGGCACTCCCAGGCCACGTCTGGCTTCTGCCTGCACTGATCCCCTGCCTGGTCTCTGTCCAGGGACCATGTTGTCCTCTCCTGTACAGAACCCCCCCACCAGCTCCCCAGCTTCTGTGTTCCCGCCCAGGTGAATAGCCCAGACCCTCTCGGTGCCCCGAGAAACGGTCTGCCAGGGCCAGGCATCTGCCTTTGGTGCACCAGCCCCAGCTGAGCAGGGGGACCCTCCCCTCTGTGTGGGTCCAGGCCTCAGGGGCAGGCAGAAGGGCATGGGCTGGAACCCCAAATCTGCCCATGGTGGTCCATCCCCCCAGCATAGCTTTGGGGTGCACACGGGCACCACGGTCCCTGAACTCACAGATGCCACAGACCTGGGTGCGTGGCTGAGGGGGCGCCCTCGGGGTCCCCTCTGGCCACCCCCCCACACGTGGGGGGCTTGCTTTCCCACGCAAGACCTCCAAGGGTGAGCCCTGTAGGTGGGCGCCCTTGGAGGGCTGGGATGTGATTTTGTTGAAGGAGCCCTCGGTTTCCTTACGCGGGTAGCTGCTAGCTATTTCCACGCACACCGTCACCGTCTGCATCAGCCGCTGGGGGACCCCGTCTAGAGATTCCCTCGAGGCCTGGGGACCCACCTGCCTCTGCACCTTCTCAAGCCCCTCCCCTAGGGCCCCCTCGCTGGGTCCCCCTCTTCTCCCCCCTCCAGATGTTGGGGTGCCCCAGGGCCTGGACCTCAAACCACTTCTGTCTACACCCACTCCCTGGGCTGCCTCGCCCAGCTCCCGATGAAGCACCGTCTACCCCACAGCGCAGAGTTTACGATGCCCGACGGCCCGGTCTCCCAGTATGTTCACGCACCACTGTGGCAGACAGGATTCCACCAGTGGCTCCCCAGGACTCCCTGCACCAACCCAGAACCTGTGACCGTGGCCGTGGCAAGATGCCCGTCTGTGGCCGCGTTGTTACATAGCAGGGTGACCTGCATACCCAGATTTCTGGGACGGCCTGACCTGGTCACATGAGCCCTTAAAAGAGGCTGGCAGCAGAAAGACAAGCCACAGAAGCCCAAGCAAGACAAGGACGGGGGCCCCTCCCACGCTGGTTTTGAGGAGGCAGGGGCCGCGTGAGAAGGTGTGTGGGCACTCCGCTGGGCAGAGAGCAGCCCCCCGCCCCGGCATGCCGGCAGCCACAGGAAATGGGGGCCTCCGTCTGATAACCGACAGCGGCAGGAATGGAGTCCGGCACCTGCTTGAGCGTGCGGGACCCCCGCTCCAGCCGAGGAGGCTCCAGCCACCTGCCTGATCCATGCCGCACGTCTGACCTACAGACGGCCGGCGGTGTCCCCCAGACCCACCCCTCCTGTCTCACTTCCCTCAGTGTCTCCTGGACGCTGGCAAATTAACACACCTGAAACGGAAGCCTTCGCTCTACCCAGAGTGTCCCGTTTCTATCACCGGTCCAATCAGCCACTCGCAGCTCGGCCAAAGACCTTAGGATCCTCCCGACACCCCTCTTTTTGCTCATATCCACCTCCAATCCTGTACAGACCTCGTGGGCCTCGTGGGCCAGCGACCCGGCCTCGGAACCTCAATCACATCCCCTGTGGATGCGTGACGCGGGCCACTAGCTGGAGGTCCTGGAGAGTGAGGAGCCGTGTTGGGTGTGAAGCCCGGGCGTGTGGCTGCTGCCCACGGGGACAGGTTCCGTCTGCTGTTTCCCCGGCACCTGGAACAGAGCTCCGCGGGCTTGAAGGATGGCTGGCTGAATGAAGTTCCATTTTCAGCTGCGGGCGCCGTGCCTGCCCGAAAGCCAGGAGCTGCAGTCGGTTCAGAAACTTACCTGAATGCAGGAAAGCCTGGCGTGGAGCTCTGGGCTGTCGGGCAGGGCCCTGGCCCTGAGCCAGCCCCGCCACCGCGGTGCCCAGCCCGTGAGCCACGCCAATTAGGAAGAGCAACTGGCAGAAGCACCGGGAGTGTGTAATTATCCATGACAATGAAACAGCGCAGACCTGCATGGAGGACAGTCCTCTGGGCCCCTGCGTTGTGTGTCTCCTGAGCAGAGGCCTTGCAGCTCTTTCCAGGGATGCAGTGAGCAGATCACCAGGGAGGACAGAGAGTAGCATCTCTCCCTCAAGGTGGAGGACAGATTTGCTGTCCAGGATCCCGATGACGCCTCCGTCTGGGGCCAGGACGGGCAGGCTTGCTACCAGTGTCCTGGGCAGGTTGGTGCTTCCCAGACGCAGGCTCCCGCCCTGTGTGCACCGCACCCACGTGGGCCCGAGGGATGCGGCGTGAAACGGACCCGCTGCGCCCTGAGTAACGGGCTCCCGTGTCCCAGGTCTTCGGGCAGCAACCCTGACAGGGAGGCGCCCCTGTCACTTGCAAGCAGGGTGAAATCTCAGACCCTTCGGGGCTTGACACTCAGCTCCCTTTTCCGTCCTTCCCCTTCCCTCCATGGGGACCAGCCTCCGGTAAATCCCAAGTGCATGCCAAAGGGCGCTGTGTTCTCGTCGGGGGAAGGGGGTGCGAGGAGAGGAAGACGCCAGGCCGGGCCGGCCCGGTGTTGGGCTGCAGCTGGAAGTCACAGGGCACACTGAGTTTCACAGATGCAGACGTAGAGAGGTACGGACGTGCGTGCGTGTGTTTGTGGAGGCCTGCCCATACCGTCCGGCTCTGCAAACCACGCTGCTGGCCCCAGTGGGCGTCCCTGGCGCCCGGCTCTTGCTCTCACCACTCTCGGCAGCGAGGAGCCGGGTCTCCTTGGAGAAAAGGCTGAGCTGAGCGACCTCAGCAGCCTGTACCAGAAGGTAAGGACGCGTCAGAAGGACGCAGGAACCGACTGAAGGTTACGGACGGTATTCCCTCGAGCAAACCAGCAGTCCAGATGTAAGAGCATACCCCCCCAAGACGGAAGGAAACGCCAGCCTCGTCGAAGACTCTCACGCTCTCTCCCCACAAACTACTTACTAACTAACGAGTGCGAAGTGCTCACCAGCTCACCCCGCGGTGAGGGTGTTGGCAGGTGCCATCTTATCCCAGTGCTGGGACTCCACGGGAGCGGCAGCATGTGACCGGGAGGACGGGGCCTCCCTCCAAGGTGGTCCAGCAGGCACGCAGAAAGCACAGGAGACTCTGCAGAGACCCCAGAGGATGTCACCGAGACTGTGCATGTTAGATCAGTGGCGATTTCCCGATCTTTAAGGTTGCACCACAGTTATGCAGGAGAGAGTCCCGTGGCTCTGAAAATTCTCTCTCAGGTGTTAAGGGCAACAGGCATCGTGTCTGCAACTTATTCTCAGATGGTGCAGGAATAAATTGTTGTACGGAACAGAGAGTGAATAATAAGGCAAATGCCCTAAAGTGCGGACATTTGGGGAATCTGTGGAAAGAAAGAGAGAATCCAGAGTGTTTTTGCACTGAACGTACCACTTTTCTGTAAATTGGAAATCATTCTGAAATAAGAAGTTGCATAAAAGCAAAACAATTCCACATAGTTTCCACAGGTGCCCACGTAGACAAGTAAATGTTTAGGAATAGTCTGGAGGGTTGTGCAAAAGCGTGTAACCTGCGACCTCAAAGGAGAGCAGGGTTGCAGGCGGTGGTGGGAGGGGACTCAGAGGGGCCTGTGGTGTGCAAGGAGGCATCCCGGGCAGCTTGTGAGAGCCAACGTGGGGGTGACAGTAGGGAGAGGCAGCAGTGGACACCGTGGGGGGTGCCAGTGTGGGAGAGCCGGAGGAGGCAGGGTTGGGGGGACGGCTGCCCTGCCTTCCGAGTGGAGCAGGCCCCAGGGAACAGGCGCAGTGCTGGACTCCAGGAGAGCGTCACTAGCCCTGACGAGGCCAAGCCGTGGGATGAGCAGCATCAAGGCCCTCCCCTTTGTGCCAGCTTTCTGCTTCGATGGCTTTGCCCACAATCTCAGAGCGGCTGCTGCAGCTCCAGACCTTGCACCTGGCCTCACAGCAGGTCCAGGGAAAGGGAGAGCCTTTCCTCCAGGAAGCAGACTGAATCCCCGGTCCACCTCTCACTGGCCAGAATTGGATACGTGCCATTCCGATGGCACTGGGCTGAGACCAGAGGTTCTCAGTGTGTGGACTTGAATAAGGACCTCTTGGGAACCTGTTATAGATGCAAATTCTCTGACTCAGAAAGCGCGGGGCTGGATCCCATCCCTGCTTTAACAGGAGGCCCCCGGGTGATCTGGATGCAGGCTGCCCACCCCGGGCCACATGCAGGGGCGGCAGACGGGGCGGGGCTGCTCCTCTCCAGGCCAGTCAGGAGCAATCATGATCCCAGTTCTGCGCATTTCACAGAAATGGAATCCTACTGACTGTGGCCTCTCGGGTCTGCTCCTGTCACTCAGCGGTGTTCTCTGTCCGTCCGCCGTGCTGCCTGTGTCCCACCGTGGGGTAGAGCGCAGTTTGGCCTGTCTCCAGCCTCCGGCCTTAGCGAGTGTCGGCCACCCTGTGGCCCTGTGCTTTCAGCCCCGGGCGGCGCGGGGAGGGGTGCTGCTGGGGCAGGGCTGACTGCAGAACTGCCAGGCTGTTTCCCTCTCCGTTCCCGCCAGCACCGCGGAGGGGCGCGGACGCCAACACCAACACATGTTACCCTCTGACTGGTTCTAGTGCACGAGGAGGCCCTGCCCTGAAGGAGGTGTGCAGGGGGAGCCTGAGATGCGGCGGCCGGCGGTGGGCATGCGGAGGCGTGCTAGACGCATCCTGGGAGGGCTTCCTGCGGCCACGGCTCGCGCGGCCGCCGCCACACTGCCCTGCCCGGAGCTCAGTCTCTGCCCTGTGGCCTCCACGCCCTCCAGGAGCCAGTCCTGAGCTTCACCCCTGCCCCTGCGGCGTCTCACCAGCCGGGCAGGGGGCTGATGTCCCTGCCAATAATGCTGTCACCAGGGCTCAAGGCCGCTCGCCATTCCTCTTCTTCTCAGACCCAGCTCTGGGCCCCGAGGGCTTTGGGCTCAGCGGGCCAGCCTGGGAGGTGGCTGGGCTCCGCCTGCCCTGTCCGTAGGCCCTGGGAAGCTTCCTCCCGGAAATTGGGACTGGGGAGGGGCCGCCCCCCCCCCACCGCTGTGGCGGTGCTGCCCCCTGGTGTCCACGCACCGCACCTCCAGGGGCCGCCCCTGGGAACGCATGGCCCTTTGTCAGGAATGAACTTGGCATCTGCGCAGGACCCCAAGACCCCAGACTGACTTTGAGCACACCCTCGTGTCAGGTCAACTTAGGCCAGGGACATACACGACTCAGTGTCCCCAGCAGCTCTCTGGGCAGGTAGGGTGGCCAGCCCCGAAAACACTGAAGACAGAGGGTGAAGTGACCTCTTCACAGTGAGCTGTCCTTGGGAGCCCCGCTTCCGAGGTGGCCTGGGGGGCCTAAGTGCTCCGTGCCATGTTGGGGTGCATCCCATGCCAGCGCTCCTCACTCCCTGGGCACCACTCAGGAGGGCCTGCACATGGGTTGCCCCAAGGCCCTCCCCTGCAACATCCCTCCCGGGGTCAGGAGGCTTCCTGCACCCCTTCTAGACCCACTGCAGACCACAGCAGCCCAGAACTCCCAGCTACCCCATTCTGAGTCCACGTCCCCCCGCTGTTTGGCCTCTCCTGAGGGGTGCGCCCAGGGTGTCACCAGCAGTACCAGGAGAGTGGGGTGGGCTGAGGAGGGGTCCGGCCCTGCACCTGACCAGGAGCGTCTGTCAGGGCAGGAAGCTGGAGGGCGTCTGGTCGAACGGTCCAGTAGGTTGGTTTACATGTGGGTGCTGAAATGTCAGGTGACCTGGCCGGGCTCCTCAGCTGGCATGGTGCTCGTCCACGCACACGGCCGTCTGTCTCCCATGGTTCCTTGAGGAACAGGAAGGGGACTATCCAGGCACAGGCCCTGTCCAGGGAGCCGGGAAGGCAGCCGTGAGCCGCATGAACGAGGGAGGAGCGAGGCCCAGAGTGAGTGTGCGTGTGAGGGAGCAGGTGGTGGGCGAATAAAGGTCTCACATACAGGCACCTGGTCTGGTCACCAGCACTGGCAACCCCACTGCTCACCAGAGAAGTTTCCGTAAACGACATGAGTCAGATGAAAGGCGAAAGGTCTGTGGTCAGTGAGTGAAGACAATACCATTACTCATCATCAAGTAGGGGAGCACCACCAGGCAGGGGGCACTGATGCAGGCTGGGCCTGGGGTCAAGCTGGGCGCTGGCGCCCAGGCCAGCCCTTGCCCACGCCCTCCCCAGCTGCCCCTGTCCAGCTGGATTCGGACCTGGTGCCCTCTGCCTGCTGCCCCCCAGGCCTTGCCCTGGGTGCCCCCACACCCAGCATGCAGCTGGCCCGTGGCATCGGGGTTCCCCTAGCAGCCCGTCAGCTAAGGTGAGCGCGCCCTGCACACTGTGTGCAGTGGATCGGTTGGTGTCTTAGTGCGGACACGCGAGCTGTCTGGGCCCGCAGCACAGAGCTTCTCCTGTCCCCAGGGGTCACTGTCCCTCCTCATACACATTTTCTCATTTCACACGGCCCTATGCCGTCACTGCAGACACCCTCCGAGACCGGCCGGCGAAGGAGACCCTCCAGGTCATCCCTTCTGACCCTGGACCCCGGCTCACTGTGCCCTAGCCCCGCGCACCCGGGCTCCAGCCACCTGGCCCCGCCCACGCTGGCCCCGCCCCGTGCCGGCCCCGCCCCATTCCGGCCCCACCCACGCCAGGCCCCGCCCACACGGCGGCAGTCCCGGGGCCTCTCCGTCACCACCGGAGGAGGCGTGCCCCAGCGGCGGGTGCGATTGGCCACCTGAGCAGGCCTCCACCGGACCCCTCGCCCCGGGCGGGGGCCGCACGTGCCAGCGAACCCCAGCCCACCTGTCGTTCTTCCCTCCTGTCCGAAAACGCTGGTCCCCGGGCAGGGCTGAGGCGCCGGGATCACGTGGCTTGTGGCAGCTTCTCAGGCTGAAGCGCGGAAAGACCCAGGAAGACCCCCCAGGTGGGACACTTGTGCACCTGCCAGGGGCCCTCAGACAGCCTGGTCACCTGGTCGCCCTGCTGCCCGAGGGGCAGGCTCTGAGCTCCCTGCGGACAGAGGACAGAAAGCCGCCGCGGAGCACGTGGGGCCGGAGAGCTGAGAAGCCAGCAGCCCCTGCCCGGGTGTCCCGCTGGCCACCGGAGGCCTTGGGACAGAGAGGAGGTGGGGACAGGCTCCCCCAGGGGAAGGGCCCGTGAAGAGGGAGGCAGAGACCGGAGGAGGGCCGGGGTGGCTGAGAGAAGAGCCGGGACTGGTGCTCCCCCAGAGCCCCCCGAAGAGCCGGCGCTGCCGACACCTTGATCTTGGACTTCCAGCCCCAGGCAGAAGTGGGAGAGAACAAGTTTCGTGTCAAGCCCCGGGCCTGTGTTAAGTGCTTACAGCAGCCCCTGCAAACCAGCACAGGGCACCCCGTGGAAGGCTCACGGGCCCCTCCGGCGGCGCCCAGCTCTCGCCCCAGCGCGGAGCATTCCGGACAGTCCCCAGAAGCCACGGCACATCACTTCGAGAGCCCCGGGGCTCACACCCCTCCAAGAGAGCCCTGGAGGAAAGCATGTGCCCGAAGAGGTAAAGGACATCATTACGTCAGAAAGGAACTTGGGACTGGCGTGCATTTTTGCAACTTTATTTCCAGACTTATTTTCTAATTGTGTCTTTTCAATGTCTCTCACTGCAAGGAAGGACAGTGGACAGCCAGCTGCCTTCCAGACACGAGACCGTGCCTCGGCACCATGGCCCAGCACAGCTCCTGTGAAGGGCGGGCGCCTGGGGGTGCCTGGGCCCCTCCACGGGGCGTGCAGCTTGCTGGACTCCTATTTCAGAGTGCCTGAGCAGAGGTAGTGGGTCAGGCCCCCACACTGACCCGCGAGGTAGGTGTCATTGGCCCTGTTACAGGCGGGAAACCAAGGCCGCGCCGTGACCTGGCCGCGACGAGGCTGGCTAGTGCAGAGCCAGGCCCCGACTCCAGGCCTCGTGGTGGCGTGCTCTACCTGAACTCCATCTGCACCTTGCTGCGGGGATGGAGGCCCGGACGTCACCTGCTCACTCCTGACCCCCCTGTTGCGAGCCCTCGGCGGCTTCTCCCCTGACAGTGAAGCCAGGAAGCCTTGATGCGCAGGAATTCTGTCTATTCTCCGAGGCTCTTTGGCGGCCGTGTCACCCTTCCTGGGGTGTCCGCTAGTTCCGGCCTGGGCACCCTCCAGAAGATATGTCGGCCGCCCTGCTGGAAGCTCCGCTGTGGGGTCCACAGCAGCCTGCGACCTCAGACCTGCTCGGCACAGAGCAGCCCAGGGCCTTCAGGGCTGGGCTGCTACCCCCACCTCTCTGGCCTTGGCTGTCCTGCCGTGACCGGGCACTGCGCGAAGGTCCCAGTTTGCACGGGCACTTTGAGGCAGAACACAAAAGTCCCATGTTGTACAATCACGGTCATCCAAGCAATGCTTGTAGAGAAGCGCGGAAGATAAAGTCATCACGGTGGATACTGACCAGGCACCTACTCGGTGCGTGGCCCGGGCCAGCTGCCGGCAGCACCAGGCAGGCACGAGGCCTCTGCCAAGGCCCTGCTGTTTGCTAATAGCCGGGTGAGCCAACCAGCTCGAGTGCAGAGGAAGAGGCCGTCCTGCCTGCCATGCGCTGCCAGGGCACCCCGCGGCCTGGAGCATCGCCCTTCCCCTGGGCATGCTGCCACCTTCTGTGTGGGGCCCAGTGGGACCGCCCAGGGGCGCCGGGACCCTGAGGGGCAGGGGGTTACGGAGGGCATGGCTCCAGGAATGAGAGATTGGCGGCATGCTTTCCAGAGGGACCCTGGCTAGCAAGCTCTCAGTGGATGGGGAAGCCACACCCCTGGCCCCTGGGCTCCCATGATGGCCACCCTGCCCTGCAGGACACTGGGCTCAGCGGGACTCTTCACCCAGCCTCTCCAGAGTGTCCAGTGAGCCCCCCAGGGCCAGCTCCGACTCTGATGGGTGGACAGTCCTGGGGAACGTGGAGTCGTTTGTGAGCGACGTGGGCAGTGGCACCTCCTCTGAGTCCCTCGAACATGTGAGCTTGGTGACTTCTGCTTTTGCGGAGCACTTTTTCCATTCCTTGTGGATTCTGGACACTTCTTGCCGTGAATGGTCCGTGGCCAGCACGTAGATGATGGGGTCGGCCACGCTGTTCACCGTGGACAGGCACAGGAACACCGCGGAGAGCTTGCACAGGCTGGCTTCGAAGGCGCGCATGACGCCCGGGTCTCCCTTGTAGTAGGAATAGGCCACGGCTTTAGTGAGGAGCACCAGGTGGTAGGGGGCGAAGCAGACCAGGAAGATGGTCACGACCGCTATGGCCGAGTGCTTCACCTTGGCCTTCTGGGCGTCGCTCAGGCCCGTGCTCAGCTTGATGCTCCTGAAGATGCGCTGGTTGGTGAACGCGATGACGAGCAGGGGGATGGCGAACCCCACAGTGAAGCGCAGGTAATAATACCCAGCGATCTTGGTGTCCATCGAGGCCTCGAAGCACGTCTCCTTCTCTTCCATTTTAAACACTGGGCAGTGAGCGAGCCCGACAACAGCAAAGACGGACACGGAGATGAGGACGGCGGTCCACTGGTGGCGGCGGCCGCGGCTCTCCAGGGCATACACCACCGCCATGAAGCGGTCGCAGGAAATGCAGCACAGGAAGAGGATGCTCACATACAAGTTGCAGAAGAAGATGTAGCCGGTCACCCTGCAGGCCCAGATGCCCAGGGTCCAGTAGTGCTGGTTCTGGATGTAGATGGCCCAGAGGGGCAGGGTGCTGATATAGAGCAGCTCGCAGAGCGCCAGGCAGAACAGGTAGACGGCCAGCACGTTGCCCTGGAGCACCTGCAGCAGCGTGAGCCAGGCCGTCAGGCAGTTGGCCGGCAGCCCCAGCACGAACACCATGCTGTACACCACCACCAGGAACACTCTGCTCTCCTCGAAGGACCCGTTACAGTTCGAGGTGACCATGTCAGGGAGCACGGTCACTGGCACAGGGCTGGCGTTTCCTGTGGGACAGACAAGTGTGAGGACAGGCATCCCCGGGAACCACCTGGGAGAGACTTTATGGTGCTAAGAAAGGGTAAGATTCAGGCTAACTCCAGACTAGACACACCAGGTGCTTACACATTTCCAAGTGGGTTCCTTAAAATCACTCTCCGATCTCTGGTCTCCAACCTGACGGCACTGTGGACAGAATACACGGGCTGGTGCAGTACCCACTCCTTGGGACAGGAGGTAAGGCCGCAGAGGGAATTAAGCTTGCTAAATGGCTGACAGAGCAACAGGGAGACTATCACGCATGACCCGGGGGCCCGATGTAAGCACGGGGTCCTTGCTTGCCGAAGAAGGAAGACAGGAGAGGGGTGTGGAGGGTTGTGACAATTCCGGCAGCCACTGGCGACTCTGACGAGGGAGGAAGGGGCCGCGAGTCCTGGGAAGCAGGCGGCTTCCGGAGCCCGAACAGGCGAGGGAACGGATCCTCCCCTAGCGCCTCCAGAAGGAATGCAGCTCGCACCGCCCGTCTTGGCCCACCTCCCACGGCTCACCCCCAGGACAATGACGATAGTAAGTGTGCACTTTTAAGCCTCTAAGTTTGTAGGAATTTGAAGCAGGAAGGAGGTCAAATTTCTAATAACGCTTTTAGTAGAAAGTCTTTTATTGCTTGAGATAAAAATAGCAGCTCTCTTCTACCTCCAAGCCATCTGCATCCCCACGTTTTAGATGTGACACTTAGGAGAAGCTTACGGCTGGATTCAAAAACCGGACACTCTGAGCTCCGTTACTGCGTGCGGTCCGTTTACATTGATACGGTTTTGTTTCCCCCTCATTTTGTGCTCTTCCGGCTGCCCTCTCTATTCCCCTCCCGCCTTCTGTGATGGGTTGAACTGTGTTCCCCGCCCCCGGAAAAATACTTGGTGAAGACCTGCCCCCAGCAGCTCAGAGCATGGCTGGAGGTGGTCAGGTTACAGGGAGGTCATTTGGGAGGGCCCTAACCCCCGGGGACATTCGAGCACAGGGACGCATGCGGGAAGGACCATGTGCGTGGGACACGGAGGAGGCGGCCATCCACAAGCCCAGGAGGGCGGCTGGAACACGTTCTCTCTTCCGCACCAGCAAGCACACACCCCTTCTGGATTTGTTCGGTTCTTGAATGCTGTTTCCCCCGCTCTATGGGCTTGGAAATCATCATTAGGTCTATTTGTAGTCTTGCAGGGACTACCCTGGAAAGGGAACGTGCAGGTTTGTAGCATCTGGAGCTCGTCGGAGCCTGCAGCCTCCTGAACGTGCGGGAGCCTCAGGCACTGTCCATCCAGCGCCCCGACTGGCCCGTGTGCCACTCTGGCCTAGTGTGGCAGCTCATGTGTTTGCATCCTCACGCGTGGGCATGGTTGTCCGCTGTGTGCAGGACGAGCCACGTGGGAGCCGGGCTCCCACCGGCTCCCCTCCCTTAGTCTCTGGCCTCAGGACCTCCTCCGCCCGCGGAGAACCGGAGCCTGCAGGACGCCCTCTTCATGCGGTTCCAGCAGGTGGTCTCCCGGGGGTCCTGGCCTCTCAAGCCGTGAAGAGCTGTCACCCATTGGTCTGACTTTGAATCTTCTGCATCCGAGAGCGTATAAACGCCACCGTTGCTCTGCTCTGTTTGTCCGCCACACGAGGCTCCTGGTCCCGCCCGTCGGAGCCCGTGGCCTCCGCCCCGTCCTCGATCTGCAGTGCCAGCCGACGTCCCACGACAGCATGCACGTCTCTCCGTCTGCGTCTGTCTAAGCTGTGCCTTTTTAGAAGTCAGTGATACACTTTCGTCACCCGAGCTCGGGGGGCCAGAGGGCGGGGGTCCTGGGATTCACTCCAGAGCTGCTTTCCCGGCAGCTCTCACGCTGGGGCTGTCCTCTGGGGTCCCGTAGGCAGGTGTCCCCTTGCAGACCCCACGCCCACCCCACATGAGAGCCCAGGGCTTCCCTGCCATCCCCATCAGTTGGGAAGAGAACAGCAGTGAATCAGCACGGGAACGGAAAACAGGCTCTGGGGCATCACGTCGGTGAGCGTCCCCGTGCTGATTCTCCCTGAGAGTCACCGTGCGTGCCACGTGGAGTCCAAGGCCCAGAGATGTTCAGGGCTCTGGAGTCCCGGGGACCCAAGGGGCCCCGTCAGTGCACAGCCTCGGTCACCCAGCCAGCCCAGTGCCTGCGGAGAAGACAAGCTTTCACGGAGCTCTGCCGACAGGTGACCCAGGCTTCAAGGGACTTCCTAGCGGGAACGTGTTGAGGCGGGCTGATGGACCACAGTGTGCCAAATGGGTGACCCAGGGGAGTGCGCCCTGACGTGTCCCATCCACGCCCGGACACAAAGACTCCTCCAGGCCCCACTCCAGTGCCCATTCGTCAGGGAGGACCCTGGAGGAAGGTGTGACCTGACGCCCGCCTGCCCATCACCACCCCGTCCAACAGCAAGGAGGCCCGACCCCACGCTCGTGCTGCCAGAGCCCGAGGCCGGTCCTCACCTGCCCTCCCTCCCGAGTGCTCCTGAGGGGCAGGGGACATGTGGGTGGATGAGTCACGAAGACAGAGTGCTGTGCTGGGAGGGGCGACCCCAGCAGTAAGGTTCAGGGACACAGCCGTGCCTCACGCATTGTCTGGGGACCCGCCGTGGGGAAGGAAGCCGCCGCATCCCAGGCACCGCCCGCTCCTGCCCGGCCTGCTCTCCTGGGCCCCCTCTGAGCCCCGACCTGCACCCAGAGCCTCCCTGGAGCCTCTCCTCCCTCCCGCCCTCCCCTGAGACCCGTCACGGGATGAGCGTCTGTGGCCTTCGAGATGACGCGTGCTTCCCAAAGCCTGTGCCCCTGGGCTCTGCCTTTCCGTTCCTCTGGAGACGCCGCGCCATCCTAGCCCTGGGCCCCACCTCTCCTCCCCCGTGCGCTCATGCTCCCGAGGTGAACAGGCACCCGAGGTCAGCAGGGAGCGTGGACAGCCGCCAGCCCAACGCCAACGCAGGCCGATCGCTCCTCTGGCCACGGCGGCCCCTCCCGGGTCTGGCTGGGCCTCGGTGACGGCACGGAAGGGAGCTGCCGCTTCTCGAGCCCCTGAGTCACGACGCCGCGGCCTCCCCGCATGGACGTCCACTCGGTTAGGAAAGCAGCACATCCCAAATGCTGACCTCGCCGCGGGCGTCCGGCCAGGGCTCCTGCAGGCCGCGCATGCGCCTCGCTGGGTCTCGGCAGCCTGGCCAGGCAGGGCCGCTGTCGCGGAATGCAGGCCGCCGGCGGCACCTGGCTTATTTTCCTGCTGGGGCTTCATGGTCAGGCCTCCGACAGTGCATCCCTGAGCGACAGGGTCTGTCAGCCTCACGGCCGGACCCTGACGCCCGGTCATTCCACTCACGCGTCTCCCCCAGCGCTCTGATTCTGGTAGAATGCATGTAACAGAAAAGTTACCGTCTTTGCATTTTTACGTGGGCAGCTCAGGGCCGTTGGTGACATGCCCGTTGCCGTGCAGCCACCGCCGCTGCCCCTCCACAGGACGCTTGTCGTCTTGTGAGACCCACACCCCGTCCCCATGACACTGGAGCTCCGCTCAGCTGCCCGGGGCCTGCCCCCCGCGTTCTGGAGGTCCCCACGGGGGTGTTCTTGTGCCTGGCTTCTCTCCCGTGTCCTCGAGGGCCACCCACATCCCAGCCGGCGGCACACGGGTCACAGTCCCGTGTGCTGGAGCCATCCGAACTTGTGTCCTTTGGCAGAGGGATGCCCGGCTCGTCCCCATGTCCATCTGTGGCTTGTCCCCACATCTGTCTGTAGAGGGGCGCCCGGCTTGTCCCTACATCCGTCTGTGGAGGGACACCTGGCTCGTTCCCACATCTGTCCGTGAGTCCTGCTGCCCGGGACATGGGCGTGGAGCTTCTCCTCAACACCCTGTTTTCACTTCTTTTGGGTAGATACCCAGAAGTGGAGTTGCTGTATCATAGGGAAGTTCTATGTCCGGCTTTTTGAGGAACAGCCCAGCGGCTTTGCACCCGGCCGCACTGCTTTCGCTCCCACCAACAGTGCACGGGGTTCCAGTTCCTCCACAGCCTCGCCGACACTTGGCTGCTGGATTTTTAAGATTCGTCAGCGTGATGGGGCGGGACGGCCGTGTGGCTGACCCCCCGGGCGCCCCCTTCCGAAGGCCTTGGACAGGTGCTGTCATCCCCACGTGGAGGCGAGGGGCTGGCGCTCAGGGGCGTGAGTGCGGCCAGGCCCAGTTGTGGGTTCTCGCCCAAGACTGGGGCAGCAGCGGTGGGTGGAGGGAGCACAGGGAGTACGTGGCCGCCGCGGTTCTCAGGCAGGAGGGGGAGGGTGCCCTGTCTTTGCTGGGGCTCCCCTGCAGGTCCACACGGGGGACCCTGACCTCCGGGGAAAAGAGCTCCCTGGTTGGGGCGGATGAAGCCCCGGGAGACGGGGTGAGAGGCTCCCGTGGGGCATCTGAGACAGCTCTGGGGCTCCGCGCTGCCCCAGAAACGGGAAGGGTGGGGGGCCCTGGTGCCCCCTCAGTCCTGTTCCTGCTCTTTCCTAGCACTTCAAAACAATAAAGAAACAGATGCCCCCCGATGTCTTGACGGAGAGCCTCCACCTTCACTGTTTATGGCTTAGTTTTTATTTCGGTAAATCTATTTTTGCATGCTAAGTTTTGAACTAAGTATCCCCGTTTGAGGCAAAGCGCATTGTACAAAAATTCTTACAGGCTCCCTCCTAAATGTTTAAAGTCAAAGGAGACGTGAAGGGAAGGCGTCTCACCTGGCATATAGGAGGGTTCCAATATCATGGTGGCTCTGAAAGGCTGTCTAGTACTCGTCACACATTCTGTCGATCCTATTGAGAAGTTTGCTCTGAGAGTTTAAAATGACCTGGAGAAAGAGGAAGGTGAAATGACTTTGGGGAAATCAGATTAAATCACAAATGAAGCCATTCAACAGATGCTTAGTGAGCATTTACTTTGTGCCAAATCTTGTATTTATCTTATGGGATACAACAGCAGCTCCTTAATATATAAAGAACATCTACAAATCAATAAAAATAAGAAGTTTCAAAGCCAATAAGCAGATAATTCACAAAAGAAATAAAAACAGCTCCTAAAAATTAAAAAAAAAATGTTCAACTCCATTTATAATCAAAGAAATGTGAACATAAACATCACAATGATAGTCTTTTTTTGCCTATGACGTTGGCAAAAATAAAGAACTTTGATTCTCAGTGTTGGCAGAAGTGTGAGGAAGTGGGTGCCCTTTCCTGTGTTGATAGGAGCATCAACAGGCACAAATGTGTTGGAGAACATTTTGCAACATGCATCTCAAATCCTCAACGTGCTTAACTTTCGATCATGTAAAATCCTTTCTAGGAATTTTTCCTGGTGAAATAATGAGCCAGGATGTGGAGTGCATGCGACCTGGAAGCACGTCACAGCACATCGCCCCGTGTGGACAGGACCAGGACCCCCAGGCAGCGCCCACGACGCCTACAGAGCACGGAGTGTGGGCCGGTCTGAAGGCACAGCGGGTCCTGGCAGGTGAGGGGCACCGTCCAGGGTGCCTGCTTCCTCGCCTAGGCAGAGGCGCCTCGGAAACAGCCTCTGTCCTCATCAGCCAGAGTGTCCGGCGGGAGGCGAGCGCTCTAAACCCATCCTCTGACCGCGCGGACGGCACAGCAGAGGCCGGGGGCCCGCTGGCTCCCGCCCTGTGAGGCAGGGCAGAGGCTGGGCCCAGAGGGGCTCCTGCGCTGGCTCCCACCCCACCCCAGGCTGCCTCCTCAGGGGAGACGCCCATGGGGAGCCAGCGGCTGCACCCTAAGAGTAGATTAGCCACCCAGCCGCCCTGTCACTGTTTCTCCGTTGACTAGGGTGGCCGGGATGTGTGCCTGAAGCTACAGAAAGCTGGTTGACTTAGCAAGGACTTTCAAGGCCTACCTGGAAAATCCAGACAAAGGGGACTCTAGAAACAGTAGAAGGTATTAACCTTCTGAGGCTGATGTTCCCGGATAGGCCGGGAGGCGCGGGCCTGGAGGGTCACTGGGCCTTGCCCGTCCCACCCCAGGTCTCAGATCTGCTCCCCCCGCCCCCAGCCCCCGACAACCTACGCTGGGAAGCGGGGCCGCCCCTGGGCATTCTCTGCCTGAGGTCTGTGGCCTGGCCCAGGAGGACCACGTGCAGGAGTCTGCCCCTTAAAGAGAGGGGCCAAGCTGCTCCCGGCGGTCACACAGCAGAGCCTGCGCGGGGCACACCCCAGAACAGAGACCCAGCCGGCTGGGGGGGACTGAGCAGGGTCCCCAAGGGAGGAGTGGCTGGGAGGCCAGGCGACCTGTGAGGCATCCAGGTGCTTCTGAGCCCCGGGAGCATGGGTGGGACGGACACGCCAACCTCGCCCCGGGCCAGATTTCCTTCCTCAGAACGGTGAGCTGCCTGAGGCAGGGGCTCGGGGAGGTCTGCAGCGTTCTGGAAGCTGGGGTGCTGAGCGCCCCACCCTGGGGCCTGCACTGCTCGCTCTTCCCTGAAGCAGACAGGAGCAGAGAGGGGGTGGTATCTCTGGAAGCCGCTTCTGCAAATATCAGAGGAAGTGGTGGCCCAACTGAAAATGCGCTCTCCTCCCAAGTGCGGCCTGCCGGCAGAAGGGCCCTCTCCCAGGGCTGCCCCTGAGGCCCAGGGACCTGCACTCTGAGGGCACAGACAGGTCAGGGCTGAGTGGGGCTCCTGAGGGGCCTGGGGGGCCCTGCTCATGTGGTCTGTGTAATGCCAGGTGCTGATGTCCAGGTCTGGGGCCAGCCCGGCTGGACAGAAGGGCCAGGGCCAGGGAGGGACCTCCCTGGAAGAGCCCCAGGGCCAGCACCAGGCCCAGGCCGGAACAGCTGGGCGCTGGGGTGGCCCGAGAGAGCAGGTCCTAGCCCCCCAGGGCGTTCTGACATCGAGCACCGTGGTCTTGCCACTGTTGGCCAGCGCTCTCGCCGCTCGCCTCTCGTTCCTCAGAGCCTGTCCTGTTCCCTGCCTGATGGATACGTAGCTTCCGACCTCAGCCCACGGGCCTCCCAGGGTCTTCCTGTCTCCCCTGCTCACCACCCCTACTGCCCCTACTTTCTCCTACTTTTCTGTGCCCCCCCCCTTCCAGGTGAGCAGGCCCCAGAGCGGGCCAGGGCCTCACCCCCGCCAACCTCAGTGGGCCCTCGCATCATCCTGGCGCCCAGGACGTGGGGCAGCCAGGCCCGGATGTAGAGCCTGGGTGCTGACCGCAGCGCCCAGCACGGCCAGGGTCTTCCCTGGGCCGGGGCGGGTGGGTCCTCCCGCAGGGCCGGGTGGTGTGTGGGGGGACAAGGGCTGTGGGGGTGGCTCTCTGCACTCCTCCACACCAGCAGGCCATCTTGGGGACCCACAGAGGCAGGTCTCCGCAGCGGGGCAGGGGCAGTGACAGACCCTGCGGGATGGACCGACTCAGTGGCTGGCTGCTCCCAGCCCCGGGGCGCAGGGGAGGGGAGAGCCAGCCCCACCTGCAATGCCAGCCTGGGCCTGAACCTCGGGGGCCTCTGTGCTTGGCCTGTGCTCTGGGGAAGCCACGGTAGCCACAGAGCTACGGGGTGGGTGGGCCGGGTCAGCCCGAAGCCTCTTTCCCCCTGCCCCTGGTCCCCTGCCAGCCTTGGGCACGACGTCCCAGGGGCCCGCGAGCCCTGCGTCCTCCTGGCCAGACCCGGCCTCTCTGCCTCCAGCTGCACCAGGTGCCCTTCTGGCCCTTCTCATCTCGCGGCTCACAGCGCGCCTCCCCCAGCGAGCCCGCGAGCCCGTGGCCCACTCACAATGCTGCTAAGCCGGCCCACTCTCCCAGGGCAGGAGCCCTGCATTCGCCGGCACTGTCCCCGGCGTTCGGCGTCCTGGGTTTGCCGCGCGTCCCTCAAGTCTTTGAAAATACATTCTTTAACTCGTATTATGTAACTTTTCAAGCAGAACCAGAAGCACAGCCACAGGATGCACACGATTTTCACCCTGCCCTGGCTCACTTGGCATTTGTACGAGTGGTTGCCCCATCCTGACGCGTTGTTGAATCCCCCAGGGCCGGGATCGGCCGTACCATGGCTGGACATTCCAGGTTCTCCCAAGTTCCCCACATCCTCACGCCCAATCCTTGACTTCATTTCTTTTTCTTTTTTCTTTTTTAAAAGATTTTATTTATTTGACAGAGACCGACAGAGCACGAGCAGGGGGAGCGGCAGACGGAGTGGGAGAAGCAGACCCCCAGCTGAGCAGGGAGCCCGATGCGGGGCTCGATCCCAGGATCCTGGGATCATGACCTGAGCTGAAGGCAGACACTTCACTGATGAGCCCCCCGGCGCCCCCTTGACTCCATGTCTGTGTTCGTGTTTGGGGTAAACTCTGGGGAGGGAGTTCCTGAGCTGTCGGCCCCCATGGCATATCTCCCACGTGGGCTTCCCATGCTTTTTTCTTTCCATTTTGATAGATTTTTTTTTTTTTTTAAGAAATCTCTAGGCCCAGCATGGGGCTTGAACTCAGGACCCTGAGATGGAGAGCCATGTGCTCTACCCATTGAGCCAGCCAGGCGCCCACAATAGATTTTTAAATGCACGGTTTAAAATCTCATTTGCATTTCTTTGATTGCTAATGAGGCTGACATCCCCCACTGTGTCCATCCTTTTTTGTCCTGTCCCCCTCTGCCCCAGGTGACTCTGCGTCCACCCTCTGCCTGGCAGGTCCCCTAAAACATCATCTCGTCACCCTTCCGAGCACAAACACACCTGAAAGAACAGTGCAGCCTGACTCCCCATCCTTGGTAGCCTGCCCACCCTTCTCGACAGGGGAACACCCCATGGCCCATGCTCATCACCAGACAGCATCCTGAGAGGCCTGCCAGCCGCCCAGCCCCAGAACCATGCCCTGCGACCAGGGGACCGTCCCCCCGGCAGACATCTCGCTGTCCCCCCCCGTCCCTCCTCTTGGCCATGTGCCCCTCAGCCCAGGCAGTCCCTGGAGGCAAGGGAGCCAGGCCCTTTATATCTCACCCACCAAGCACCCCGAGATTCAGCCACAATGCCACCGCACCCGGAAGGTTCCACCTCTCCACCCTGGAGAGTTTCTAGGGGCGAAGCTGCCCCTGAGCTCCGACTCTCTGGCCCCCGTGGACCGGCATGGACCGGCAGCCGTGGTGAGAGCTTCACAGAAGGAAACCTCAGGGTAGGCAGAGACTTTTGGGTACGGACAGAAGCTGCCACCCCTGTCACCCCCACACCCTTCTGCCCCCCAGCACGTGGGGCCTGTGACTTACTTAGGGAGGCAAACCTCACACTCACGCTCTGTAGGCCCAGCTGAGTGCTTTCAAGAAGTAGCAGGGTCCAAGTGTTTCCTTTAGAGCTCCCCTTACTGGGGCGCCTGGAGGCTCAGTCGTCAAGCATCTGCCTTCGGCTCAGGTCATGATCCCAGGGTCCTGGGATTGAGCCCCACGTCCAGCTCCCGGCTCCACGGGAAGCCTGCTTCTCTCTTTGCCCCTCCCCCTGCTTGTGTTCCCTCTCTCGCTATGTCTCTGTCAAATAAATAAATAAAATCTTAAAAAAAAAAAAAAAAGAACTCCCCTTACCGTCAACGGCAGGCCCCGGGTTGACTAGCCCAGCTGAGGTGTCATCTGGCTGATGCCTTGGAACTTTCCTGGGGCAGATGCAAGAAACCACCCCAGACTCACTTCTCCTTAAGTCTGTCCCAACACTCAGAGACAGGCTACACCATCTTCCCAGCTGGGGCCAGACAGACGGAACCAGCTCAATGAGCTGTGTGCCCAGCCTCCCCAGACAAGATAGGGCAAGGCACGGGGAGGGACCCTTGGAGAGGAACTCGGCTCCTGCCCTAGGGCCCCCATTCGTCCTCCC